AAATAAAGCTACCTGGATTTTAGAGAGGGTAGTGTTTGTGAATCTCACACAGACAACCTCATTTCCTTAAAATAAAAATCTGAAGCTTATTTAAAATGAGAGGATGAGGGAAATGGGCGCATCCTAAGCAAACAGTTCATCAGTATACACTGCAGACACAGTTTACATTTGTTTATTAGTAGATCTTGGAATTGTTTTGTGCCCTGGGTTTTTAAATCTACTTGTAAATAATCAGAAACAAAAGTCACATGTGTGCTGCAAGGATAAGGAGAGAATCAACACAGTCAAAGGCCCATTTCTGAGAAATCAAAGGGGTGAGTGTGGGACAATAAGAAGGCAGAATGCTGTGAACAGCTGTCACACTCCTCATTGATTCATTGATTCATTCATAGAACATTTATCAAGTGTCTATGCCATCAGATACTTAATACAACAGAATATTTGACCTCCAGATGCATATTCTATCACTTGTGAAAGAGTTACATGCAAAAGTCAGCAGCTCTAATACACGGAGTGATTACCAGAGGGTAAAAGTAGGGTCCTGTGCAAACCCGGGGGTGTCCTCACCACACACCGCAGGATTTCCCCCACACCCAACACCCTACAATACAGTGTTCAACGCAAAGCACCCTGATAACTTTTTTTTCAATCAGCAGGTCTCTGAGAACCATATATTAAAAGGCAAATGGAAGAACAATTTATCTTATTCTAGTTTCAAGTAAGTAGTCGCAAAATCTAAGAAAAATAATATGAAGCAATTTTAGTTGTTTGGTAACAAAAGTGAATCATTGTTGTCTCAGGCAGCTTTTATGTGAAAAATACATTTGATAATAATTTGAATTCTTTTAAACTATTATATTCTGTGACCATCTGGGGAAACAGTTTGGAGGATAAATACAGCAGAAAAGGCATTAAAAGGGAAAATAATAGATATAGTTGATTATTTTTGACAGTCTCTTATAATATGAAATCCTGAGTCCAGATCACAGTGATTATGCTGAAAAACTTCTAATCGCTTTATCTGTATTCCCAGCAGTGTCCAGGAGTTGCACTTCCAAGGGCAGGGATGTCTGTAGGCTTTTTACATGAAGATATAACTTAGAGAATTTTTTGAGAAATTGTTTCTTCACATGAAGTATACTTGATAATAACATTTTAATGTAATATTGACATTTCTGGTTTTTAACTCTGTTGGGCAGAATCTTGATGGAAAAGAAAATCACTTGCGACAGCTTCAGCATGAGTGCCTAATATCATGGCAATTTAAGCCAGTTTTTTTTGTACTTCAGAGATATTCCATCAGAAAAGAGGTTTCCTTCATGTTTTATAGAAGGAAGTTATTTCTCAGAACTGATAATGCTAAAATTATCTTAAAAGTATTCATTGTTAGAGTGAATATTGTGGAAAAAATTGACAGTTCATTTTAGAAATTTTTGATAGTCTTAAAATAGTTTATAATTTTATTTACTCTAATAAGTATGCTTGTGTATAGTTAAGTATTTCTGTGTGAGTATTGATTTTAGACATATGAGCTGCATTGGTCTAATTTGATTAAACAGCTGAGAATTTCACCCAAACAACTACTGTGATATTTATGGCTGAACACAGGGTCTTGGTACTTGGAATATGGTTCACAAACCAGTAAAATCAAAATCACCTTGGATGTAGCTGGAAATACAGGTCTCAGCCCTTATCTCTAGATCTACTGAATCAGCATTTGCATTTCTAATATAGTCTCTAGATAATTAAAGTTCTAAGTACACAGGGTAATGTTGACTCTAGGTACACAATGCAATCACTTAGAATGACTTCTAGATTATTTTTACTACAAGACCTGGTTTTGAAAACAAGTCAAATTATTTTGGAACGGAAACCTTGAGCCAGTATTTTGAAATGCTCACCAAGTGATCCTAATCTGCTGTCAGGTTTGGAAACTATTGATCACACAATGCCCAAACAATCAGTAAGTTTAGTATATTCTGGAAGAGAAAAAAGGAAAAAAAAAGTTAAACCAATTAATTACCTCATATTTGGTACCACTCTATAGATGATTGATTTTTTTTTAAACTTCTAATAAGTTTGCTTTGCTACTGTGTGAACACAACACTATGTCTCAACCTGCCCAGGAGTGTACTATATTGTAAGTCAAGAAGAGGAACACTTTACTACCCAAATTAATTACAAGAGATTTGGTGTTAGTTTTGTGTTTCAACTCTGCTTCCTTTTACCGACCTTCTTCCCCAGCCTGACAGATTTAAATGCTGAATTTCAGACCCTGTGCACGTTCCAACCACTGCACCTTTGCCTACCTACCTTCCCACAGGCCCCAGTCCCAATGGCTTTCCCTCGAGCATCCTCTCTTCACCCCAGGCTGAATGGACTGCCCTCCCGTGAATCCCCATGTTGTTCACTACTCCTGCTTTGAGCTCTTCCTTTGTAGTTTTGTATTTTAACTCTACTAGTCAGTGGAATAAAATTACTTGTTTAATGTCTGTATGCATTCTCAAGAATTAACAATCTATACCAAAATCTTATGCATGAATAGGGAAAAATAAGTCATACATAGTGCATGTGTCATTATTATTTTATTTCATCGATTATGAAACTGAGTCTAGGAAAATGAACCTCAGGTTTGTAACACTGGGACACACACAACTTAAAGGAGCGAAGATATATGTTGGCTTATGGCTTCAGAAGCTTCAGTCTGTGGTCAGATGATTCCAATACTGTAGGTCTGTGATAAGCCAGAACATCCTGGAGGAAGAGCATGAGAGTTGCTCATCTCATGGCAGCTGGGAGGCAGGGAGATGGGAAGATCCACAGATGATGCACCGGGCACCAGATATTATTCCCAAGGTCATGATCCCAGTATCCACTGCATTCAAGTAAGCTTAGCTCCTGTTTCCATCACCTCTATATCAAGCCATCAAACTATGATCTCATCCATGGATTAATCCATTGATGGAGTTACCACCATCTTGACCCCATCTGTTCCCCAAAGCCCATAAATTGGCAACCAGGCCTTCAACACAATGTCTTTTAAGAGGATAGCATAAATAGCAACTCAAAGTACAGAGGAAGTGCTGTCGTTTGGAATTTACAAGGGGAAATGATACAGGACACACAATTTGTAAGATTACTTTACAATAGTCACCCAAACAGTCATATACAAAGAGAGTGCAGGAAATCTGTCCACACCCCAAAGACCAAAAGAATCTAGCCAAGAGCCTGGACCCCATGGCAGTGTCCTGCATGAGTCCAGCTAAGACCCAGAGCCCGTAACAGTGTCCCACACAAGTCCAGCAGGAGGCCAAGAGCCCTTGCAGTGCCTCATGCAGGCCTCTTTCAAGGATCTGTGCTGGGAAGGTCCAAAGGTCAGTGGTGGAAGCTAGAAAGTCTGTGCCAACATGGTGAAGGATCTGTGCTAGCAGGCTGAAGGATCTGCACTGGAGCCAGGAAGCAACACTCAAAGCAAGAACCAGAGCTCCCTGGAAAAGTACCACAGTCATCCTCAGGGACAACGAGGTCTTGAGCTCCTCTGATGGTGAAAACAGCTGAGTCCATATCAGGAAAGCCAGTGCAACAAGCTTTCCCAGGACACTGAATAGTGCATCATCTTCCCCTCTGGAGCCAGGAAGTGATGCTCAAAGTAAGGACCAGAGCTCCCCAAAGTGAATGCAGCCGTTCCCACTGACAGCAAAGTCCCAAGCTCCTTCAGTGGTGAGAACAGCCAAGCTCAGCAGGAAAGCCAGCATGACAAGCTCCTGCAGGAGAAACAACGGCTCCCAACAACCTCTATAACAGATTCTCCAGTTCTGCCCTTATGCTGCCAGCAACAGTCCTCAGATGGGCCTCCCACACCCAGCACCACACCAGTTCAGCTGGGTGCTACAAGTTGACCACCAGCTTTCAATCCACCACAGGGAGTTTGTTTGGTTTTAGTTCTTTGTGTGTATGTATGCATACATGTTTGTTTCTAATAAAATAATACTTATAATTCTGGTACACATCAAGAATATGAACATACTAAAAACAGTAAAAAAATATTCTCAAAATATGTGGCTACTCTTATGCTTGGAATGAACTCTGAATTTTTTTGTTATTGTCATCAATTTCCTGTCTTTAGAGAGAACACTATTTGAATTTTTTGGGCAAGTCAAGGAATCTGGAAATAATAGATTTCTTTCTTTAAAAACTCCTTTTTAGTATACAGATAACACCTAGATAGCTTTTTCTTAGAAAACATCAAAATATCATAAATATGGTTAAAATCTCTGCTCAGCACTCCACATGCCCTGCATGCCATCCAGCTCAGACACCCTTCTTCCCTCAGAAGCGGCCACTGCTAACAGAGCATATGGCTTAAGACAGCTTTCATGTATTCAGTGAATACACAGGTGTGATCAAAATAGAGTAAGTGCTTAAATTTAAAACTTTATTACAGTAAAATGCACGTTGCCACTGGCGGTCCTCAAAATGCTCACCCTGACCTCACACACGGTTATGCCATCCTTCTTGCCACTTTCTCAAGCAGTTATGGAATTCCTCTTTCAGGTCTTCATGATACATGATTTAAAAAGTATATGTATAGTATGCTTTCTACATTGGTATACCTGATATAGCAGCTTTCAGAACTACAATATGACAAAGATGAACTGGCTGGTGACTGACTGATTGATTGATTTTGAGTCAAGGTCTCCCTATGTTGTTCAGGCTGTCCTTGAACTCACTACATAGTCCAGGCTAGCCTCAAACTCCTGGCAATTTTTCTGCTTCACCCACTAAGTGCTAGGATTACAGGTGTGCACCGCCATGCCTGGCTATGACCTCTTTAACATGCTGCTCACATTTAAAGATTTTATGGCACTTAAAGAAATACTTCTGGACTGCCATGCAGAAAAGGAAGGCTAGAAACTCATTTAAGCAGTGACTTTGTGGTGACATCATTGTGCAGATCATCTAGCATTCCAGCTTATCAGAACAATCAGAGGCACTAGGTAATGCATGGCGTCGTGCTGGATGTCACTAGCCCAGTAGGCTCACAGAAACTTCAGCCAGTGACGGCAGAAGAGTGCATCCTGAGAAGACAGTTCTGCAGCCCTCCATTCAGGTTAGGTATTGATGGATTAAAAAACAAAAACAAAAAAGCAAGGCACAACCCTCCTGGGCCTGTTTCTCCTGAACTCCTTCTTGTTTTGGGTAACCCCAGTGCTCCTTGTCATGTGGATACCATGTTCAAATGCTTCAGAGCCAGGCTGCATGGGAGAAAGCCCGTGCCAGCCACTGCACCAGGGCCCGAAAGTGTGCATGCGGGTGGGTCTGTGTGCAGTGTGGAGGAGCCCATTCTCACCAACCTGTCCCAGTAGGCTTTTCATGAGACCTTTGTGCATTTGCAGCTCTTTTGTATATAGGTCATAATTTCAGTCCTTCAGCCTCAGTGAAGTCTTGTTACAGAGTATTACTGAGTTGCTCACCTGCACAAGCCACCTGGCCTGAAATTTTGGAATCTCCTATGATCCTTGCCCTGGCTGAGGTAAGTAACTGACAGAGATGTCCTTGAAAGTCAATTGAAAATCAAGTCCCAGTCTTCTGTTTGCAGCCCTTGTAACACCGGATCTTCTGCTGGTCCTGATGCAGTCTCCCTGTTTCTAGAAGTCTCTTTTAAGCATTGTTTTCAATACAAATATTTTATACATGAATACTCAGGCTAATCTGCTGGATGTGATCCTGAACACCATGATTACTCCCTAAAGATCAAAGTATTATGTGCTGTGTGCTCTTTAGCTGTCAGTGTTGTGAAGTCAAAATGCTTTCTACCCTGCTGTACCTGTTGTATTAGCACCAGGTGGGTGTGCTGGAAACAGAGTAAGGCTTTCCTGGTACCGTAGTAGACTAAATCTGTCCAGCTACCTTGGCATATTAGTGTGTTTCAGCAAGTGTACCGAAAGTCTTTTATTTATAAACCACTGGGTTGGGTTTCCTACTATGTAGGTAGAGACGCTGCAATTTCTTCTTCCTTCCCAGACCTCTCCTGCCAAGATAGTGCTCCCCTGTGCACCTCAACATGAGCTGGGGCAGTGGACACTCCAAAGGTCATTTGCCAGCTTTGACTTAGCACAATGTTTTATAGAACATTACTGGCCTGGAAACACATGTCACATCTCTAGAAAGAAGTAAAACATGGTTGAATTTTAAAGTACATATTAAATACAGTTATGTATAAGTTATACTATATATGCATATATAAATATATAATATATATTTTGAATGCTGCTGCCAAGTGTTATCTAGTGGAAAGGCAAGCTTGTAAAAGTATCACAGTGTCTCCTCATCCACCTTATTCACCAGATCTGGCACCGTGCAACTTCTGGCTCTTTGCCAAACTCCAAATGTCACGAGAGGCAACATTCTGCCAGGACAGAGCAATCAGAGACGTGGAAGAGAACTTCTGTAAGTGCTTCAGAAGTGGCAAGAACGACCTGATAAGTGTGTCTGAAGGGAGGGGAGTGTTTTGCTGGGAAATTACTGTCTGTGTATCTTTTCTGAAATAATTTTCAAAACTTTAAGCACTGCACTTGTTGATCACACTCACACATGGAATATTATAATAATTCATGTTAGTGGTCGTCAGGTGTCAATTAAAATGTAGCACTTTGGGGAGTTATTTTATTCACAGGTTCAAAATAAAGACCAGGGGATGATATCTAAATCAGAAACTGACAGAGTTAAGATTCACAATTGTATCTCAACTCTGCAGAATAATACACTAAAAACAGAAAGTTAAAAGTTTGGCCTGCATAAATATTAAGTCCCTGCAAAAAATGCAGCAAATGCAGAACTCTAGTTTAACATTAGTTTATAGGAAAAAGACCTAGCAGTTGGATTATCACAGACTCAATATATAATAAAAGTTCCAGTTTTTGGAAAAATTAATAAGTTTTATCTCTACAATGAGATTCCTTTAAAACAGCAGGAGTTACTCCAGAATATCTTCTTTTTGAAGAAAAATTATGTAAATTATAGTGAGCTAGTAGTTGTAAAATGTAGGGCTTTTTGAGACAATGTAGTGTTCATATATTTTTTTCTTTTTCTTTAAAAAAGAAAAAGAAAACCAAAGATGGTAAAAAAAAAAACTTGCCTCTTTTTGGTCCTATCCTTGAGGACTGTCAGTATAAAGGACTGTATAAAGCTATTTACCTAATAGGACGACTTACATTTTATTGAAGAATATTTCCACCCAACACCCTTCGCCTGCGTGTGCGGAATTAGGCACAGGGAAAGCATGGAACATGTGCTTTCTTCTGCTCCGTGCTGTGCAGGGCTGGCCAGCAGATACAGATGTTCATCAAAAATGCACACAAGAAAACATAGAACTTTTTTGGCCCATTGAATACACACAGATCCTTTTGTAGGCTTGTGGGTATTTTCTTTTTTCTTTAATTTTAGATATCTATCTAATGACTTCATGGAGTACTAGTTTTTAGAAAATAACTGACCTGTTGTTTTCCTAGCAAATGTGAATATTATATTCATTTATGATGACCGTGACTGAGCAAACACCTAAGCGATCATGAGTCTTGACCTCTATTTTTCCTAAAATTAATCTCTCCTATAAACGTGATACTATTTCAGATCATGACCTCTTTAGTGACAAGAAAGAAGCTGAATCCGTTCAGTAGCTGTACTGATGGATTTTTCAGGACACCAAACAGTTGTTTTATTTGAATTTATCTATCTTTACCCTGATGTGTAGCGCTGCCCGTGAGAAGGAGATTCAAGGTCTTAAGTCCATTACTGTTTTTATTCAGCAATGTCAGACCAATAATAGGTGTTTATCTTCTAGCTTGTGCTGCTCCAGATAGAGTAGCTTATTGTAATTCTCCCCCCCCACCGCCCAGTTTTCTTTCCCTGAGGAAATATCTATATCTTGGATCCGTCTAATTAGCTAGTATGTGAGAACAGAAAATTGAGACAGTCCCTATGCTCATGGTTGCTGGGCTTTAAAAAGCTCAATAAAATTTCTATCTACATTTCCTTGTTTACGTGGTGGAGCAAAATGGATCAAACAAGCAAAGATTTGTGGCAAAAGAGATTGTGCCTTTGTACAGTGTAACACATACTGTGTCTCAAAGAAATATTGTGGCACTCCTCTGAAGCTGACATTGGAATGACATTGTAATCCCGGCCATCTGTCTTCCCGCTCTAGCTGTCCATGACTGTGCGGTGGTGAATGGAGGCTGCCCGCAGCGCGGTAGTAACACTCTGCGCACCTTCCGCTGTGAGCGTGATGCAGGATGCGGACGCCGTGCTGCCGAACACACCTGCAGAAGTGAGTAAATACTAGAATCAGCTTGGAGCCATTTTCAGTGAAAATTGACCTGCCCGTGTAGGGGCAGAAAGGAGAGGTTTTTCTATTGTAAAAACATCTATTAGAAGCTGACAGTTTTCAAGTGCAATTCCATCTTTTAAAATAAAATTATATTTTGTTATTAAAGGACTAAAATAAAGAGAAAGGAGGAAAGACATACCAAAATTAACATTCTCAAATGAAAGACGCATCTCCAAATGTGTAGGTCTTGTAAATTTGTCAGTTATTACGTTTATACAAGTGCAACACAAAACCACAATTAGCTAATGATATTGGGTCACTATAATTACTGGCTAATATGCTCTCCATTTAGATCAGACTTAGAACCAGATCAGAACCAGATGTACAGTCAAAACTGAATTCTACGCAAAATTGTAACATATGCCAAAGGGCTTAGAGTTGCTCAGGCATGTGTAAAACTGCACACATTGAGTATAGATTACAATGTGTTTATTTGTATCAGAATGTTCTATAAATTTTGAGGGGGATCAGATTATTTTTCATCTTTTTGTATATTTCTGGATTTTACAATTTTTCTAAAATGAGCATATTCTACTTTCACAAACAGAATACAAGCAATAAATTTTAAAAATAACCTTCCTTTGATGATTTATGAGTGCTCTTTGCTGTTTTTACTGCAGTGATTTATGTAAGTTTATTGAGTCATGATTCTCAGATGGCATAAACTTGGGCTCTAGTTTTATCTTCAGGTCCATTCTCAAGGTAATGATATTAAAAACAGCATCCTGTATAGCATATTTTAATTACTGCTTTCCTTTTTTAGAGTGTTCACTAGCTCATCTGCACAAAATTATTAGTATCTTACAAATTATTCTATAAGTATGAACCTTGGAATTGAAATCAGCAAGTTTCACCTAGTTTCATGACATACACTTTCTTCTTCTTCTGCGTATGTGTTAAAGGAAATGAGTAAAGGCCAATGGAAGTGGGTAAAAGTGTCTGACGCTGATATGACAAAATAGGCTGTAAAACTATGGTAGCAAGTACAGCGAACACAATTTTTCCCCCAAAGTCAAGTAAGAGTATAGTTTGAAGTCAGATCCTAAGATCTAGGGAACTCACTGATTTAATCATTGTAAGTGCAAGTTCAAGAATAGCAGTGCATGCGTATTTATCTAATGGAAGCATCCTTTTTTTTAGTAGGATTATTGATTTTAGCAACAAGATTCTCTTTCCCACTCCAAACCCCAAACTTTTAAAGATCACCTACTGCATTCTTCCACTGCCTCTATAACTTCTCTGAATCACAAATATGTAGCAGCAGCAAGATTATTGATGTAGATGAAGAGTTTATCTGTAAAGGCTGAGCTAGTAAACTTTTGTATGTGATATAAAATGTTTTGCAAAATAGTTTGTATGAATCAGTGATATCTGGTCTTTGATCACATAAATAAGCACTCTATAGCCACTAACTAAATTCTCTTCACAATGATAGTTTGTAAAACATGACACCTATAAGCTATTTCTTAGTAAAATCACTAAAATCTTCCCTTATTCTTTCCCATTACTGCTCTTGAATTTTTCAATTTTTGTTTTAATGATATCAGGTCAAAAGTGCAGTTGGCTAAGAATATTATGCCTTATCTTTTTAAATTTGTATTTCTTAAAAACCAATGTTTTGTATACATGGATACAGACACTATGATAATCACTATTTGCAACTCCATATACTGACTTTATATACAGGAGTTCAATGCATTTTGTTATATATATATATATATATATATATATATATATATATATATATCATGTAAGTAACAATAAATATGAATTTCATGATTTCATGACTGCAATCATTCCAAGCCTTTAACCCCTTGGCTACCATTGTGCAGAAAGTATTGCTCTGAGCCCAGCATTTGACCTTCAAGGAAATTTTGATGACTTTCTCACATGCATGCACTGAAGTTTTGGGTTCAAATATACTTTCAGGAATCTGTGTTGATTCAGTTTATAGACATGTCCATCTTGCTAGAAGAAATCCAAGAAGGGTTTAGCACTTTGTATTTAAAGCTTGATAATATAACCTTAAGGAAAACATCTGTTTGCTTATTTATTATGAAAAAGAGGCTTTATTGTAGAGACCTGAGCTTCACATTAGATGATTTTGGGTTAGACGGCAGAAAAGATCACTAATTTTTAATACAGAGAAGTGAACTGGCTCACTTTATCACTGGGAATTGTACGTGGCTGAAAACAGAGTGGTGGTTAGTGTTTCCTGGGAGCTTGGAGCCGACATACATTATGATCTACATAGAGTAACAGAAAGCAAGGGGGAGCCATGGAAATTTGTGATTTCACTATTTTGGAATATTTGCAATTAATTTGGAATAATTGCAAATTAATATTTGCAATTAATATTTGCAAATTAATATTTGCAGTTAATTAATATTTGCAATTAATGTCTTTCTTTCTTCTTTTCCCCTTCATTTTTATTCCATTTCCCCATTCTGCTCAGCACTCACAGGCCTGAGCTGCGTGACTTTCTCAGCAGAGCCTCTCACACTTTTTGCACTTTCTCTCAATCAGTGGAACAATAAACTCCCCGGACCTTCAAACACTTACAGAGTTTCAGAGGCCTTCCTTTCAAAGGAGGGCCACCAGCTGTGGTCTTTTGATCACGTGTAGTGGTTATGACCAGCTTCTGTCAGAGTGATGAAGTCACGCGAAGTGGCACAAGAGAAGGAGTTGGGCAGCTTGCTAAACTAACAGGAAGTCAGGGTTTGGACCACTTGACTCCAGGTAAAGGGCGTTTCCGACTGTTGATAAGATTCTAGTAAAACCGGGGACCTAAGCTTTACTGGGCTCAGTGTGAGCCCATGAATTTGTCTGCAGTTTTGGAATCTGTGTTATTTTTCTGCAGGTAAGGACACGTCATTTTTCTCAGATTCTTAAAGCTGTCTGTGGCGTGCAAACAATCCCATATATCTTTTTCTCCTTCAATAGTCTTTAAAATGTATTACACGGGAGAATCTCATGAAAATCTCATATCACGACACGGAGTTATGATACTGCCATGCTGGTCAGTGACTCCTTCTCCCTGCTGCCTCCGTTCCAGTAAGATTCCAGGCCAGGGGCTCCAGGCCCCGGCTGGAGCAGAATGTGTCCTGGCCCACTCTTACTCTCCTGAAAGGTGACAGCAGGAAAACCAGTGTGAGATGTGCGGTGGGTCAGCACATGACCGGATATGAGAGCGACTGCCCTTGGTTGGGGGAGGGGCGCGAAGGCTCCGATGCCCTAACAGTCAAGGGCGAGTTGCGTCTCTAACGTTCTGTTGTTGATAGCCTTATAACACTGTTCAAGCCTTATATCACTGTTCATTATTTTTTTTCTAAATCGTCCCCTTAACTTCATGACAGCACAATTCTTACTTTTAACTGCTGATTCTCTTTACTCCTATTCTAGTTACCAGGGTTCTGAAGTGAATCTCCATCTCCTTTTCTTTTCTATCGTCCTTTATTTGCTTCTTTTCTAGTCTGTCTCCACTTTGCTCTTCTACTTTTATGTGTAAATAAAGCCTGTAAAATCCTTTGAACATTACCTTGCACACTGTAAGGATTACTTAAATATTTCAAAACAGAACATTAGAAGACATAAGGACTTCACCCAGATGGATTTGCTTATCAGAGAAAATCTCAGACTTATTCCTACATTTCTAGCTCTTGAAACTTTGCCAACAGTCCATCTATCAAAATTAACTATCTCTTGATAGTTTTTAATTGGTGATTTTCTCATTGCTGGGAGACAAGTATTCACTAAATATGGAGGTAATGTAAACCAAACTTCTCTTTTAACCATGGATTTTTTTTAATTACGAGCAACCAGATACTAAAATAACTTATACTATCTAAATTGCTAGGATTATGTCGTTTGCATTTTAAATAACTTGCAAGATTGAAGTATAATTGATATACCTCCTAAAAGCTTTCTTACATTTCCATTTTTAATAATAACCCTGTAAAAGAAGATCAGCCCAAATCTCCACTCATAATCATGTCCTAGTAGTATATTTGCTGAAATGACCCTTCCTAGGTGGTGAAATAATGAAATGGTTGAACATTATAATGCCTGCATAATGTTGTTCCCTCTCTTTCATGCTTTCAGCATGTAGTTTTATTAACATCTGCATTTACAAGAAAACAAATGGAATCACTGATGTATGCATAGAGAAAGCTCAGATAAAGGAGATTTTAATTACTTCAATCACTAATGCGCCAATTCTTTATTTCTAGTTGCTTGACGTGTGCAGGGTCTCAACCATTACATTTTTTGTCACTAAAACAAGAAAAGTTACCCGGAAACTATAACCTAATGACTTTTCTGTGGAGAAATGTGTGACACAGAGAAGTCTATCTTATACTTCAATTACAAATAAGCAGAAATCAGTGACAATAACAAAGTAAATGTACAACTGAGAAGTGTGATTAAAATAAAGCTATCATTATTGATACTTGGAACTTGAATAAATTTTCCTATATCAGATTTTTATGAGTTTCATATTTTAAATTCGTGCTAAATTTAAAAAATAAAATTGCTAAAAGTATTATATGTAGTAGTATTTACATAATAGATTCTTTTGTTTTGGACCTCAATGTTTTGATCGGTGATGTCTGAGTTTTATTTGATAAGAAGAGTAGAAGATTCCTTCGAGGAAATGCAAAGAGATTGCCCTCAAATTGGAGATGAAAGAGGTTAAAGACTTTCATTGAACTGCCTTTCAATTAGCTGCATTATTTATGAAGACAAATTAGAAACAGAATTCATTTCAGATGACAGCTGATGTCTTGAACAGGGCAATGTCAGGTTAAAAATTTTGTTTAGTTTGTCAGATGTATGGCATTTCTCTGTCATTATCAAATTCATCATCCTGGCAATATTAAGCACTTTCACATGCCAGATAATAATAACACTCAAAAGGGAAACTTAAGGATCACTTCCCCTCTGCCCGCTCAGCCCCATTCCATAGCCTTGTGCAAAATCACACAAACTTCTCAAGTTGTCACCCAGCATATTAAGCAGTAAGCTCAGGTCAGTACTTTCAACCCCTTGAGTTTCAGTAAACTCTAGGATCTACTCATTTGTCCTACAATGTTTCAATAGACCCCAGACTCAGGAAGGTATAACAGACCAATGCATGAATTCTGACTGTGTCATGTGAGAGTTATGTGATCTTGGTCCAGCTACTTAGTTCCTCTGATTTTTTAATTCCTTCATTTCCTCCTATGACTAAAATACGGACACATAATGAATGCCCAATAAATACAGGCTTAAATCAGTAATGTACTGTTATCATGTATCTATTCTTATTCTTACGTATTTCCCCAGTCAAAGCTTTCACTCAGTGTAGCCAAACTGAGGATGAGGTACTCTTCATTGTGTGCAACTAAAAAAGAGGTTACCTTTCAGTTCTCACTTACGAAAATAGCACAGATTTTAGGATTTTGAAAAAAACAGTGGTTACCCGGAATGGTGTATTTTAGAAAAATACAGTAATGTTCAGAGCAGTGATAGCAACACTGCGCTGCCCTCAGCCTTCGCTCCCCCAGGCTGCGTGGCTCGGTCCAGTCTCTTCGCCCTTCGGTGGCTCCGCTTTTGTATCGGCTGCCTTGGGGCATGTGACAGGACACGTGAAGTCTCTGGGGCAGGGCCTGGCACAGAACAAGCACAGACTCAGGATTAGCTAGTCCCCGCAGTTGGCCAAAAGCAAACAGAGTCAAAATTACGGGAGGTGAGACAGTGTACACTTAAATTTGTTTTGCCAATCAGATAGCTTCTCTTGTGCTTCTGTGTTGGTAGGAGACCTAGTGTGAATGTGTGCCTATCCCTGGGTTCATATGTTGAATGTGTGCCTGTCCCTGGGTTCATATGTTGGCATACTAAGCCCCGGGGTGGTGGTAGTAGGAGGTGGTGGCTTTTGAAAGATGGTTAGGTCATCAGAATACAGCCTGCCCAGCAGGTTTAGTATCCTTATTACAAAGCCCCCAGAGATCATTTTGTCACTTTCACAATGTGAGGATGCAGATAGAAGGCATGGTCTATCAAAAACAGAACCTCAGCAGACAAGGAGTTTACCAGTGCTTTGATCTTGGAATTCCCAACCTCCAGAACAGAAAGAAATAAATGTTATTTGCATGCTACCTAGCCCATGGTATTGTTTTATAGCAGCCCAAATGGACTAAGAAAATAGGTCTTTTTTTATCATTTGATAATTTTTATTTCCCTATTTTTGTATTTTGGGGGATTTCAATGCACACTGTATCATGGCCACTCTGCATATTTAATCACATATGTCCCTTTCCACTCCCACTCACTCTTTACCTCTTGTCCAATAGTAATCTCCAGTCTGTTTTCTTTTTCTCTTTTTAGGCCCTACATACTCAGGGCAAACGTGCAGTACTTGTCTTTGTGAGTCTGGCTAATCTTGCTCAACATTATGGTCTCCAGATCCATCCATTTTCCTGCAAATGACAAAATTTTGTTCTCTTTTGTTTTTAAAAAATGCAGCCATCAGTTCTTTTAGCAGCCCCCATTTTTACACTTTTAATGTTTGTGGAGTTTTAGAGCAATGTTCACAACTGCATTTTGACTGTATGATAGAACACTACCGGTCTCATTTATCAGCAGGCTGCAGATTTATATCTCCCTGTTTCCAGAAGTGCTGGAGGCAGTACGCTTCCGGCAGCTTGTGCATGTTCACAGAATACAAAGTGCGAAAAGAATTAAACATGAAATAGCACTGCCTTCATCTCAACAATGTAGAAGGAATAGTGCTTGCAAATAGCAATATGAGCAGAAAACTTAAATCCAAATCTAATATGTTAATACTGCCTGTAGCTTCTGACAAAGAAAGAATCACAGGATTCTGGAGTCTACATTTTCTGACACAACAATCATAGAGATGTCTTTTATGTTGGGGGGAGTTTAATTGTGTCATAATCTATAACTAAATATATATCTTTTATTTTTCACAGACAACAGAAATCTTTAGCTAATGGGCCTCCCAAATTTTAATCCCACCAGCAAACTTGGGAATTAACTGATCCATCCATCTACCTGCTTTAATCTTTGCTCAGAGGAAAACGGACTGTGTTTTCAGGCCAACCTCCCCTGTGGTATCCATGCCCTCCTCTTAGAAGCTCACCCCTTCAGCGCCAGCTTCTGTATCCCACAGGAAAGTGAGACGCCACCCTAGAGCTACGTCTGCAGTTGGGCTGAGGGTGGCTCAGCAGCACAGCACTTGCCTAGAGCACACAGCCAACTTCCTGTTCTTCCAGGTAAGTAAACAGGGAAGAATAAGTTATCAGTGCCACATTCCAGGAGCACTGTTCCATCCTTACGTTTTTACCATTTTGGGAGTCATCGCCTCTCCTCTCCTGGCATCCTTTCCTTCTCCATTCGTAGGTCACAGCTTCCTCCTGGTTCTCTTCCATCTCTGTGATGACTGCACAGCCTCTTTCATGGAGCGATTTTACCTCTGCTCTCGCAAAAATCCCTAGCCCTGAATTCCGACTTTGTCCCTTTCTCTTCTCCCCCTGGTGAGCATTTTCACTTACAAATCTTTACTTCCTATGTCAGCTAGAAGGGAATGATGGCAAAGTCACGATCAGTCACTATCATGAGATCAGGTCACTCTCCTTGTATTCTGACCCATAGACCATTTGCTGCCTGAGCCCTCCTGGCCAGTGTCCTCTCAAATCACAGTGTATTGGGTCTAAAGCGGAATATACGTTCCTCACTTACCCCAGTTTTCCTCTTTTGTGGCACCCCAGGCCATCGTTCCCTAGCCAGTCTAGCATGGCTGGAAGCACTCAGGGATTCCCTCTGCATCCCACTTGGCTTTCCTCCCCAGAGACTGCCTCCATCATAATCACTCTTATGGAGACCTTCATGAACTCTCACAGAAGGGTTCTAACAACTGCCTCTTAATGGTGTCACCCTCTACGCGCATTACCTGAAGAACTGCCAGGGCCATCTTGTGAAAACATAGTTTAAAACTTATTTTCCATGCCTTAAAACCTTTATTTTTTCTACATTGTGTTCAGAATTCACCCCAGTCCCTGCTGTGGTTTGCAGGACTTCTGTGTCTGATTCTGTTCAGTGGTTCACTGGACATGTGCCTCCTCCACACTTCACACTGCAGCAGCAGACACAAAGCAGCCTTACACTCGCCGAAGTGCGCCGGTCTGCTCACCGTGCTCCCTCTTTCCTCTCTCTGTTCCATGCACACACACCGCTCCTGCACCTGATGCTCCTCATGTGGAGGCATGGCAGCACTTCCCTTCTCGCGTTCTCGCCTTTCATACTTTGATTAGCTCCTCTCTGTCTTTCTACACTGACTTTGGTATCCTCTTTCTAACCACCTCTTCCCTTACTCATAAAACAAATGTGGCGCCTGTTTTCTAAGTTTTAAGAATACTTTTGACGGCAGGACATAATGTGAGGGCACTCAGGTAGATGAAATGCAGAACTCTGTTACACATTTGAATGAGAGAGGGTAACCATGGAGGGCTGCCAGTCGGGTGATACCTGGATGGCAGAAGAGCAAGCTGGAATGCAGAAAGCAACTTACATAGATTAGGCAGGGAAGGGCAAGATAAATGTCAGCATCATCCCATTTATTTGGAATTTTTCCAGAAGCCAAGGGGGAAAGACCTACTGCTCTGTGTTAGGTCTGGAGGTCTTTGTCGGTTGGGCCTGTGAATGTTATAACCGTGGAATGTTGCAGCCTGAGACGGGAATTATCTGGCTTATGGATTTAGCAAAATGCGTAAATGCCTGTGAAGGGGAACTGAGAGTTTTCCTCCGTGATTTCACCTTGGATGAAGACAAGATGTAAAGTACTATGGTACACTATGGTGTAGGGTCTGGGTACAGCCCTGCCAGAGAAACTCTGTGACAGGGAATTCTAAAGGGTCTTCTTATCTGTCTCTCCCCTGGCCATATCATTTTTGCATCTACAAAATTTCACTTTTGACTAAGGTGAAGTTTTAAATTTTATTTAATTACTCTATACTAATTCAGTGCTCAGAATGTGGAGATCCTTGCAGTAAGTTGTGCTTTGTTTAGAAGGAGGAGCATTTTGTCTCTCTTGTGATGGTCTCTTAATTGAAGGAGAATGAAATAATACATGGCTTTTACTCTTAGGAAACCCAGCACTAAGTTGAAGGCTTAATTGCAGGGACTCAATCTAACCTATGTTCCTGATTTAGCTATCTTTCTCCTCCTACATAATGTGTTTCTTATTTGTTACAATGGTTATTTTTGTACCTTTTTCTCACTTTTTAAGCCTAAGTGTTAGCAGTTCTATTATAGATGTGATTTACATTGTACACTGCCTAAAATCATCTTTAGGAGAAGGAGGAATATAAATGTGATTAAAAAAAAAAACTAAATGCAAACCTAACTTTATCACCTGGATCCTTACAAAAATCAAAACTGACATCATGGACAAGATCTTAAACACTGAAGGCTTGAAGATATGACCCACTCACCTGGATGGTTTGTGTGCTGGTCCTCAGCAATCCTGAGTATAACTGACTTTGCCAGGCAAGGCGGGAGAGCGTGACAGGTCAGAGATTGGCTTCCACATCAAAAAAGGAGGGAGAAGCCTGCCGTTCACAGAGCCAAATTCCTGGAGCTGAGTGGTCATTTCGTGAAGAGACAGTATATGTAGTTATTCATAACAGTCATTGCGGTTTGAGTCCAGGATGTCATTTCCAACCGAAAGGCAAAGAGAAAGGGGTAAGATACAAAACCTGAGTGATGGGGCGAAGATCACCTTCCCGAAATTCAGGCTGCATACAGAATCATAAGCTGAGGTATACAGATTCTGAAAATTAGAGTGGGAAAAACAAGGGGAAATTGTCCACAAGACTCAAGTTAGGCTTAAAGTTTGAGCCAAAGGTAAGCAGGAAGTACACTGCGAGCTCTTATCCTGGGAACATCTCTTCAGTAGTCCTTACGCAGGACGTAAGCAAGGGCCAGCCGTCCAGACCACATCTCCTGCCCCTCAGGCTTGCCCGTGAGGGAGCACTCGGCAGGCTGGGCGCGGAGCATTCCCGGGAAAGCTGCCCTCCCCCACGCTCGGTCTTCTGGGCTGCAGTTCTGGGTAGGAGCTGAGCAAGCACAGTCCAGCTCTTCAGCCTGTGCACATTTTAATTGATCCAGAGATCAGCGCTCTGGAATCTGGATAATGATAGCTTGCAGATAATTTTAGCCATTAGTAAGAATTCCACTAGTAGTAATAATTATTTGATTTAAAATATCCTCTCTGGTTGACACAACAACCCTAACAGACTGATATTATTTTCTTCAATTTAAAATACTGAAAATGGGCTTCACAGCTTTGGGGTCACACTTGGGTTTCGAGCCCCACAGAGTACCTCTCTTGAATCAGTGCACACCTAGGGAAGTGGGTGGAATGTGTTTTACACCTTTTGAAGGGGAGGAAGGAGATGGGTAGATAGCTGAATGTATCTACCTTGCAATCTTTGATAAAGTGCTCTCTACCAGGATATGGTGTGGTAATGTAGAGTCTTATTTCATCCCGAGGTTTAGAGTTTAAGAGGATCTTTGAGTTCCCTGTTGGAAAGCAAAGGTTTGCTCATGCCGGAGGCGTCCCCACTGGTTCTGTGCGGGTTGCAGTGGGTTGGCTTTCGGTTTGGGCAGGAACACAAGTCACAATCCTAAGCTTTCACAGCAGAATGTCGACCTGTCTCTCCAGTGCCTGGTGTATAAATCTTACGGCTTTCACTGCAGTCAACAGTACAGAAATTCTGCACCACAGGCCCATGTTAGAGGATTTGACTGTGAGCTGAATGGGAGCCAGCATCCATCCAAATCTCCCTAAAGACAACTGATGTACAGAGCACACAACAAGAAGATCATACGCCCTGGCGCCAAGAAGCGCTAAGTTACAATCCCAGATTTGCAACTACTAGCTGTGTGAATGTGGACATGTTGTTAAACGATAACAATGGCTAACATTTATGCAGCGCTCATTCTCCACGGGACACAGCATTAAGCATTTTAAGTCTACTCTTTCGTGTACACTTCATAAAACTCTGTGAGGTGGGCAGTGTTGTTGCCACTATTTTGCCCCTGGGGAGAAAATGAGACTTGCAGAGGGTGTACGCCACTCGACAACCGTCACTCTGTTTGCAGGGAAGGGTCCAGGATATGCCTTGCAATTGACCAACTGAAGTCTCCTTGTGCTAAAATAAATACAAAAACCCACATGTGTGCAAAAGTAAGGCGCTTGACTTTTATTGTTGAAGCTTCCTAAGGAAGAAAAGACACTAACTACATTGCAAAGGGCTTACAGTACAGTGCTATGTGGAAAATGGGTTGGGTCTGTACATGATCAAGGAGCTAAGTAAAAAGGCTGTTGCATTAAGACTGGACTGGTGAGAGATTCTGGACCATGATAATCATCAGGAGACTAAATGCCAGGAAGCTGCAATCCTTTTTCCTATAGGCTCTTAGCTGTGTGCATTTTATTTTATAAAGCACGGTGTCATGTCGACTCTATATAATTTTATAGTTGGAGTTTCCACAGTGTTTTCAAATTATCTTTTCAATGCCAATATAATCGGTTGAATGTGCATTCTAAATGCATAGGGATTTGTATCAAGTCCCAAAATGTCATTATATTGTTTAATAATTACTCAATGGTTTGTAATATAAAGAAAGAGCTTCCACGACACTTTCTGGTTTGATACTGTTTGAAATTTTGAGGAGTTTTACTGTACAGTTTCAAATTTACTAGAAGCCCTAATCATGTTGTTGCCTACCCAGTGAGATTCATAGGTTAAAACCTATATATACATGGAGAGTGCCATCACCTCTTCTGCTTTATAGCGTCTCAGTGCCAGCATTCATTTTTTTAGAAGTGAATACAGTATATAATGCAGACATTTAATAATTGTAGTGCAATGATCTGGTTGGCTTTCTGCCGCTAACATTTTCTATATTGCACATTGGAAAAATGTTGCAATTTCAACATTTCTCCTGGATTCAGGGTAAAAAAAAATGTAAATTTATTTTTATACTGATCTTGCTAATTAGGCAACTTTTCTCTGTAGAGAATGTCTCATTCCTGCATCTCTTGTTTTTAAATTCTTTAAGTCAAAAAACAGTCTAATTTCAACCTGGTCTTATTTCTAAAAGAAAATGATTTAATAATCTTCCTATTTTCTCATTATAATTTTATGAGGCCCCCTGTAAGAACTACCTTATTTCATCTCTTAGTACTTCCGTAAGACTAGTGCAGATT